TACTATACACCTGGGAATTCTGATCATTCACATAAACTTATAGGACCATTGTCTGCCAACCTTATGTATGTTCTTGGATACACTCCCCATTTCATAGACATACCTAATAGTTCAGCCTGTGCACCCATCTATCCACCCATACACCCATGCTTGCCTTCACTGACAACACAGTACTGTATGTGCATATCTTTTTTAAAATTCCAAAACCAACCAAACTCACTGCCATTGAGTCAATTCCAAATCATAGCGACACCCTTTGGGTTTCCAAGGCAGGTAATCTTTACAGAAGTAGATTGTTCAGTCTTCCTTCAGCAAAAACTTGGTCAGTGTCTGTGTTGGCCAGGAATTGAACCCAGGTTAACTGCTTGGAAGGCAGCTATGCTATCCACTACACTACCAATGCTTTGACTCTCTAAAATTAGACTAACAGAAATGACAACAACAAATCATTTTTTAGGAGTCATAAGAGATTGTTCTAGGGTTGATAAAGTGTTTTACAAAGCTGTCTAGACCTTTTAGCTTATTGGTCTCTTACAGACCCAGGGACAGATTACCCAGTTAGCAAGGTAAGCATGTGTTTAGGGCAGCAACAAAACAGGGGCCCCAGTTGACCCAAACAAAGACCCATAGATTCCAAGCAAACAAGACACAAGGAAAAGCAAGCACCACAGCGAAAGGGAACTAGCAGGGCACTAAATAAAATTCATAACAACTCCATTGTGTGAAAATGTGTCAGGGGAAAATGAACTTCACAGTCATGACAGTGCCCCTGCACAAAGTTGTTTAAGCTATGATGCCTCTACAACTTCAACACCCTTGTTGATGTCTGTCTCCTACAACCCCTCCTGTGTTATGAATTTTATTTAGTGCCCTGCTAGTTCCCTTTCGCTGTGGTGCTTGTTTTTCCTTGTGTCTTGTTTGCTTGGAATCTATGGGTCTTTGTTTAGGTCAACTGGGGCCCCTGTTTTGTTGCTGCCCTAAACACATGCTTACCTTGCTAACTGGGTAATCTGTGTCTGGGTCTGTAAGAGACCAATAAACTAAAAGGTCTAGACAGCTTTGTAAAACACTTTATCAACCCTAGAACAATCTCTTATGACTCCTAAAAAATGATTTGTTGTTGCTGTCCTTTCTGTTAGTCTAATTTTAGAGAGTCAAAGCATTGGTAGTGTAGTGGTTAGCATAGCTGCCTTCCAAGCAGTTGTCCTGTGTTCAATTCCTGGCCAACGCAGACACTGACCAAGTTTTTGCTGAAGGAAGACTGAACAATCTACTTCTGTAAAGATTACCTGCCTTGGAAACCCAAAGGGGGTCGCTATGATTTGGAATTGACTCAATGGCAGTGAGTTTGGTTGGTTTTGGAATTTTAAAAAAGATATACACAGCATTTGAAAGACTAATATGCTTTACAAAAAATAACACAATAGTTGCCAAGGAGTTGACTGACTCTTGGTAAGTGACCTCATGTGTGTCAGAATAGAATTATGCTACATAGAGTTTTCAACAGTGAAATTTTCAGAAGTATATCACCAGACCTCTCTTCTGAGGTACTTCTGAGTGGATTCGAACCTCCCACCCTTCAGTTAGCAGCTGAGGTTTGAACCACATACATTTCTCCAAAATTGTTGTTAGCTACCGTTGAGTCAGTTCTAACTCATAGTGACCCTATATACAATAGAATGAAACACTGCCTGGTCCTGCACCATCCTCACAATCCTTGCTGTGCTTGAGCCCATTGTTGTAGCCACTGTGTCAATCCATCTGGTTGAGGGTCTTCCCCTCTTTCGTTGACCCTCCATTTTTCCAAGCATGATATCCTTCTCCAGGGACTGGTCCCTTCTGACATTATGACCAAAGCAGGTGAGACAAAGTCTGGCCATTCTCACTTCTAAAGAGCATTCTGGCTGTACTTCCTCCAAGAGAGATTTGTTCATTCTCTTAGTAGTCCATCATATAGTCAATATTATTCACCAACACCACAATTCAAATACATCAATTCTTCTCCTCAAAGGTGGGAGACCATTACTGGGTAGAGAATAAGGGGAAATAAATGAAAATTTAGAGAGAATTTTTGTTTTGATGGACCTGGTGACAAGTCCCAATGCACACTTCACTGAAAATTTTAGGATGATGAGAGTGCAGATTTTAAGATCATCAGTAAAGGAAAGAAGCACTTACTTCTTTACCAAGATAACAAGAAAAAGCAATCTGTTCATTTATTGTTACTCCTCTGACTTTTCCTGATAATCTGGTATCCAAGAAAATGTCCACATATTCTGTACCAGCTTTAATACTAAGAATGTGATATAACAAAAAAATAGAGAAAAATGGACTTCTATTCAAGTGCAAAACATTAAAAAAATATTTGCATGTTGTTTTCATCATTTGGCAGTAGCCATTATTTATATTTTAAAGGTATAGGAGGTATAGGAAGGAAGGTATGTTGAGGTTAAGAAAGTTTCCTGTGGTTGCATATGTTAAAACTTTTCACAGATAAAGATTTATTTTTTAAGATTTAGTTTGTGAATGTGTGCAACATCCAGAAAGGAAAAAGACTGATAAAAATAGCATTCTGGAAAATGTTACCTCATCTCATTAACTCTAAGGTGAAATCAGAGTGGGGTGTGCCTGGAGTAGACCAGGGAAGGATTAGGGTGACTTTGTTCAGAATTGTGGGGTAGGCTGGGTTACCAAAACCCAGAGGATTGTCTAGATTGGAAATTAAGGTCAAACACATACATCAAATTCATGCTCCAAAAACATGCACTAACATCTAAATAGTAATGAGGTAGTCCTACAAATAGACAGGTTGACACAGCTGCCACGAAGTTAAGTCTAGGAGTTTGCTCCAGGAGAACAGTGCCCTAAAGTAATCCATGGTTCATAAATCAGAGTAGCAATATCAGTTCACAAAAGCATGTGTGTAAGAAATACAATGTGTACAATTCTTCTGAGTGCACTTGATGTTCATTTTGAGAATACGTTACACTGAGTGGATGAAACATCATTTCAGTCAATTCTGGGTTTCACCACCCCAGGCCTGTAGCCAATTTTCAGGGCAGTTTACATAGTGTCAGTGTAGTAGTGTGGAGGAAAACCAAAGCCAAACTCACTGCCATCGAGTCGGATCCGACTCATAGCGACCCCTCCTTGGGTTTCCGAGGCGATATCACTAGGGAAGTAGATTGCCCAACCTTCCTTCCGAGGAGTGGCTGGTGGGTTTGAACCTCCAGGCTTCTGGTTAGCAGGAGGGCATGGGGTTTTAAATCTACTCTGGGTTGTTTGGTCCAGTTCTTCCAGGAATATGCCAAGATGGATATTGTCTGTCTGGTCCTTATTCATTAACCCTTGAAGGTTGCTGTTGAACTGTTTCTTGTTCATGATTATAGGGAAGGATAAATGTTTGGTTGCTAGTGCTCCCCACTAAGTGCTATAGGATCTCTATGAGTTATCTCTGTTTCTCTCTGTTTGTTCATTCCTGTGGCTCATAATACTCCATCCTGCACTTCACTGAGCCTTGGAGTCTCAAGAGTCTCCTAGTTTCCTTGATAACCACCAAAGAAAGGAGACTCTATAGCTCTTTTGTTTCCTATCTCCCCACTCCCCTTCCACAAACACTGAATTTCATCCGTGGGTAATGTCAGGGCACAGGACTCCTCTAGAACCCTAAATCCAAGTTCTTTTCTTCCCTTATCCAACTGTTTTCTCCCCCTCCCAAGCACTATCTTTCTTACATCTGATTTTCAAAGAAAGTTGTAAACACTGTCTCTAATCTAACAGATAATATAATCTCCCAAAGATATTATTTATAGCATATACTTATACCCTGAGTTCTTTATTTAGCTATTTTTGAAGTTCAAAAGCTCAGGTCTTAGCAATGCAAAAGCCAAAAATTTTGACACTTCTGATTTTATGTGTTCTAAACTGCTTACACTGCTTCTTAAATGGGAGAAAGGTCATATGTGAGCAAGAAATATAGAAAAGTCATTTCTAAATCCTACTCAACCCAATGAAACCAAACCAATAAAAATCCCCAAATACACAGAATTAGAGATTATATCAAAATCAGAAGAATACATAGAATTAAAACTTAAGTACTAACTCAAGTTCATGAACCAAAAGTTCAGTTTTCTGAGCAAAGAAGACAGTCCAACAAGTTGTTGTTGTTGTTGTTGTTGTTGTTAAGTGCCATCGAGTCGTTTCCAACTCATAGCAACCCCATGCACAACAGAACGAAACACTGCGCGATCCCGCGCCAGCCCCACAATCCCTGCTATACTTGAGCCCATCATCACAGCCACCATATCAATCCATCTCCTTGAAGGCCTCCCCCTCTTTCGTCGACCCTCTACCCTACCAAGCATGACATCCTTCTCCAGGGAATGGTCCCTTCTTACAACATGACCAAAATAGGT